TCCATATTTTGTGTCTAGTTCTTAATAAATTTATAGTGTTGTCCTCAGACTTAATGATGAAACACTGCATTCCATTCAAATTTTTCCACTTCAAAGAGCACGTTTTGCTTTCTTTCAAAGTTTTATACAGTAATTCTGTCCATCCATTTCGCTGTCGAAGGGCCCTTAACTTTTGATTTGTGAAGCCCTTAACTTACTCTAAACTGTAAAATTTGTTGTTAATTGATAATTTAATGTTTATTATTACAAAAAAATTGTCTGTGACTTTGTGAAATTAGTTTCTAAAACTTCAGCTCCTATATTATGCTAGATAAGTGACCTCAATTATGATAAGTATTCGTCTGTCAAAGATCCAGAATTGTATTTAAATAATTTTATTATATAATACGTGCAATATGGGGCTTCTAGTATGGCCAGTGTTTTATTACAAGTATGTACTTTTACGATGTACAATTGTCATTGGGTTAAGTGGTTCCAATTGTGACAGTGCATATGAATGAGTTCTAACTACCGGGGTAATATCAGTCTAGTTCCTGTATGATTCTGTCAGATCTTTTCGTAGCCCATTATTGGCTGTCTGTTGGTGTACAGTGACAAACATATTAAAGATGCATGTTATGTCCTCTGGCATGATTTCCCATTTTCCCTTTTACAAAGTCGTGCAAATGCATTTTATCTCTGTTTAACTTTACATTTGAAGTGCAGTTTAGTGGAAATTCTACCGCTTCGTGTGTGAATGTAAAATTTAATGATTATAGCTTAAGGGATAAAAGTGGTTTATTGTTACTTTGCTCTGTAAACAAATAAGAATCAGACATGGAAAAATGTATCTGTTTTGCTTTTTTTGGGAGGGGGGGGGGTCTAATTTAATTATTAAACTTAAACAGAATTAAAATTGAAAGTTTTCGTTCAGTTTGATTCAAAATATGTCTAAAAATCCTAATTCAAATGCGAATAGATTTTGATTTTAATAGTTGAATCGTTACCATTTCAGTGTGTGATGGTATTTGGTTGACATTTTGGTGGTTCACCAGTAATGAGACTGAAATATGGAATAAATTATGAAAAATTCTCATTTTCTCCGCCCAAGTCATCACGCATGTGAACCATGAATAATTGGTGGAATAAGTACAATTTTTCATTTAGTTTACAAGAATAGTGAATCACCATGGTTACGAATGAACTCGTATTCATAAATGCTAATCTAAATGGATTTTCCTACAGCTGCTATCTGCTATATATGGAGGGTATTGATTAATATGTTTTGATCTTTTGTATGATTTGTGTAGAATGGATACTAATTTCAACTCAATACTTTTATATCAAAGCTGAAATAAAGACGCAAGCTCTGAGCAAATTAGCTTATGATCTCTTAATTCTCCTTATAAAAATTACATCTAGTTCTGCTGTTTCTGAGAAAAATAGAATGTCATCTCATCAGTAATCCAGTAATGTGTGTGTGTGTGTGTTTTTAAAGGTGGGGGGGGGGGTCTTAACTTGTAGATTTTTACCATGGCTAGTTTCCACATCTACATTCTTTTAAGCCTCAGAATTTCACCTTCCTCTAAACCAAACTCGCATTATTTTTTTCACATATTTTTATCAAGACCTGTAGGTAAATAGAAATTATAACTAACAAATATATTATACAAAAACTTTGCACTATTCCTTCACAGTAGTATTTATTATTATTTTATATTTGCAACCAAGGCAATTACATCGCCTCTATTACAACCATGTTTCGCCATTCTTGTCGGCCTGCAGCAAGGGAGCAGATGTTACCAGTAACTCCAGCTGACTTCGCATCCCTCTCAACTGCCTCCTTCCATCTTGTTGGGTGCCTTCCTCTCTTCCACCGGCAGTAGTACAGCAATATATTGTTGGGTGCCTTTCTCTCTAAAAGCTAGCTTGTTTTCAGTGTTGCCATGCAACATAAATGTTAATTTAAACTTAGGGACAAACTTATTTACGGTTTATTTCTAAAATCCATAAATTACACTTCTTTTTGACTTTTCGGTATACTATGCCCCGTTTTCAAATTTATCAAATATTTCCCAGGGAGACTTTTTCCTCACTACATTATTAATTGCCTCATATAACAGCCCAAAAGGTCATAGGTCAAATCAATCAATCTTCAAGACTGTTATTTTCATCATTAAAAGTTGTAACTAAAAATTATCTTCTAATTTAATATGCCAAATTTATTGAACAAAAAAATGGCCAATAATGTTCCTAAATGTGTCTGCAGATCATTTGAAACACTGTCTTGATGTAGTCTCTCTGTTGCCGAGTGAACTCAACAACAAACCACAAAACGGTGTCCCCTGGTAACAGAGGTCATGACCCAGTTACCACATAAATGTGTTCTGGAAACTGTGTGGATAAATAAATAATGCCTGTCAATTTGTAGAATTTGTTTCACAGAGGAAGTTTTTGCTCGGTCTTTCAGATTTGTGATATTAAATTTTTTTTTATTATTCTTGTTTTCAAAGGGAAGGTGAAGTCCATGATTTTAACACTTGAATATTTCAGAGATTTTATTTTTGGTTCAGTATCATTGTCTCCTTATGATGACTTTAGGGCAATTTAATTTAATAAATAATGGGCATTATACTACAACTTTTGTTGAATTCAAGTTTTAAGATATTGTTGATTTATTTAAAGAAAGCTTTGTAACTTAGGTGGTCATTAGCTGCTGGGATTAGAATTCAGTAGTGAGGTTGCCAAAATATTTTCAATAGCGGTAATTGGCCAAATTATTTTGAAAGGAAGTGAAAGAAAAATTACAGGGTATGATTTAAATATAATGACTTAGGTTTGCCTTTCCCACTGAGAGTATATTTGGTACTAAATGGTTTTGACAATTAGAACAACAATTCAACAGTATTATTAAACAACAGTCATTTGGTTTTCTGGTTGTTCCAGCTGAGAAAGTAGTGGGAATGTAGTTCAGAAATGGACAGCAATTTGCAGGGTGGAGAAACTCTTGATTCCATGATATGTGTGAAGCGATGGGGATATTATATTACATGGTAGATAGTGACACTGATAATTGTCTGTTATAAATACGGGAAATTATTTGATTATTCAAAATGGCAGAATATTTATGTAAATAATTATTGACCTACATGTATGTGATAATTCAAAATGGAGGATTTGGCCAAACTTTACACCCACTATTCTACGCCAACCTCAAGATGGTAGTGACAAGAAGCGTATTTTTGTCTTGAAACAAAGTATTTGACGTCTATTATCTATAAACGCTATCATATGAATTACATTGAGAAACCAATTTTGCTTTCTTTGATTAATAGGCTCTACCGCTATAGGCGATACATTGTAAAGTAAAATTGACCAATCATGTGTATTTTAACTAAATTCTCTCTTCTTTTATTCACGGTTCACAGACATCAACACAAAATCAGTAATCCATGTCCTGAATTGGCTTTTTGTGTGTGTACACACGTATGAATTTGTGAATTCCATAAACCTTTGTATGGCGTGGGGGTTATTTTTTGAAATGTGCTTGTTGCAAACGCTAAAAAATGATTAATCAATAAAAGCATTACTATAAGCTAAGACAACTTTCTGTTCTTATTCTGGTCCTCTTCTTGTGTTGAATCATGCATGTGATTACAGTTGATTGGCCAGTGTTACAATGTGAGCCAGTAATGAATGATTTCAATTCAAATTTTGCTTTTTTGCCAGATTTAATCCTCATAGTAACAACAAATAACAGTGGTGTTTGCTTTAATTTGACATGTCCAGTGTTAGAATTCTACAGCATGCATTTCTTGCTTATGACTGTTAGTCGTTCATTGTTAATTTTGTTAAATATTATTGCACGTAATCCCAAACACCTTATTGTTACCTGTAGCCCTGTCAATCCTTTCAATTTTCATAGTCAAAATCATAGGATTGTTATATCTGTCCTTGGTACTATCATTGTTGTCGTCTGTTACATAAACGTTTTTCTTTTTCTTGTGGTTACAGTTTTTATCCAACTTTGCTCAAACTTGAATGTTACATGTATGTTATACAGTTTGGGCTTATGGCCAATTGAACTTTTTCGTCTGTTATATGTTTATTTTCCAAGATATTTTTTTCTTTCTAATAGTTACGATATTTTTAGCTCCGCTGTCGACTTTGTCGAGCGGAGCTCATCATATGAGTGAGTGTCCGTTGATGTCAGTCGTCCATCGTCGTCCGTGTCAATGTTTTACTTTTTCGACTTCTTCTTGAAAACTACAAGCCTGAATGCTTTGATACTTGGTGTAGACCTCTCTTAGATTTGTTCATTTTGTAATGATATCTTTAATTCTCTAATTTTGGTGAATATTTTTGTCATTTTTGGTAAAAAGTGATATTTTCAACTTCTTGTTAAAAACCGCAAGTCCAATTGCTTTGATATTATATACATAGGTACTACAAGTGGATCTCTCTTAGATTTGTTCATTTCATGATGATATCTTCAATTCTCTAATTTTGGTGAATATTTTTGTCATTTTTGATAAAAAGTGATATTTTCAACTTCTTGTTGAAAACCGCAAGTCCAATTGATTTGATATTACATACATAGGTACTACATATGGACCTCTCTCAGATTTGTTCATTTTGTAATGATATCTTCAATTTTGGTAAATATTTTTGTCATTTTTGGTAAAAAGTGATATTTTCGACTTCTTGTTAAAAACCGCAAGTCTGATTGCTGTTATATTACATAAATAGGTATTACATGTGGACCTTGTTAATTTCGTGGTGATATCTTCAATTAGTTAATTTTAATGATTATTTTTGTCATTTTTGGTGAAAAGTGATATTTTTGAATTCTTGTTGAAAACAGCAAGGTCCGTTGCTTTGATACTATACATATTGTTCATTTTCTAATGATATCTTCAGTTCTTTAATTGAAATGTGCATTGCTAACAGCGGAGCTATCTCAGCCGATAGGCTGCTTGTTGTTTTGTGTAATAACATATGTATTTATTTTTGATTTCCAGAAGGGAAACACAGCACTCCATATTGCATCTTTGGCAGGACAGAAAGACATTGTAAAAGTACTAGTAGAACATGAAGCTAATGTTAACGTACAATCACAGGTAAGAATACTGTACAGCCTCTTGTCTTTTGCTGTTTTGTGTGGATGAAAATGAATTTACGAACAGAGTGCTGAACTGAGCATTTTTGGTATGTTACACAGAAGTGTTTACATTTGTTATTTGAATATTTGGTTACAGTCTATTTCAAGATGGTCTCCTTGTTGAGCACATTGCTTTAGGGAGATTCCTAAAACATGTTTACAACCTGCCCATTCCTTTTAAACAGTCATTACTTCTCCTGTGAATGGAGGTGATAAACAGCAACATATTTACAGTTAATAAGCAAACAGAATTTATTCTAAGGGATAAACAAAGATTTGTTTGCGTCTATTTTTTTTATTATTCTGGAAAAAATTTTTGTTGAGAAAAATATTCTCACACAAATCTCAAACAAGTCAATTATTACAGTACCATAGTAAAAGCAGATAATTATATTTAAAACATAAATAACTCCATGCCTGTTGTCACTCACAGTTGTCAAATTTGAAGCTATTTATAGCCCTAAATAGACTTGATTTCTTTGCAGTGTGTTGAACCAACCAGTGCCCATAGAGTGATCAACAACATAAACTTTGTCTCCAAACTCACTATATAATTCATTTATTCAGTCTGTCTTTCATATCTCGTCTACTTATTAATCAGTGAAATAGTGTTTTAGAAAATCACTATAATTCAATTCTGCATAATACAGTAGGCTCATTTGTACTCATCCACTTTGGTACGAGTTTAATATCCTGTTTGAAAATTGGTTTCATGTCAGGGGGCTCCACACCTCAACCTAGTTTAGTTGATTGTGTTCTTAGTTTCTACAGTGTATCTTACCTTGATTATCTGGTTTATATGTTCTGGACTAGATTTGAACAATATGAATAACGCCTACCCGGTATTTGGATTAGGATCAGGTCATTTTGGAGCACTGGACCAATGCTGAACCAGTGCTGGGCTCGTACTGGACCAATGCTGAACCAGTGCTGGGCTAGTACTGGACCAATGCTGAACCAGTGCTGGGCTAGTACTGGACCAATGCTGAACCAGTGCTGGGCTAGTGCTGGCCTAGTACTGGACCAATGCTGGGCTAGTGCTGGACCAGTACTGAACCAATCCTGGACCAATCCTGGACCAATGCTGAACCAGTGCTGGGCTAGTGCTGGGCTAGTGCTGGGCTAGTGCTGGGCTAGTGCTGGGCTAGTGCTGGGCTAGTGCGGGCCCAGTGCGGGCCCAGTGCTGGCCCAGTGCTGGCCCAGTGCTGGCCCAGTGCTGGCCCAGTGCTGGACTAGTGCGGGCCCAGTGCGGGGCCAATGCTGGCCCAGTGCGGGGCCAATGTGGGGACAATATTGGACATTGTCGGAAACTATTATGGACCATTACTAAAAAATATGGCTGATCTCTATTTTAGATCAGTAACTTTGACTACAGCCATACTTAAACCTGTCAAAAACTATTGTGAACCATTTCTGCAATATTATATTGAATTTCCATTCCCGAGTAATAGCTAGGACAAAAAATTTACCAGGGTCAAAACAACTGAACCAATACTAGACACTGGAGTACAACTGTTAGGGCATGTACAGTTTAGTTATTTGCTGGGTTTTATTCTCACTTATTTTGCTGAAAACTAATGTGCTAAATTAAAGTCTAGTGATGAGAAAGAATTAACAACAGAATATATTATTTCCTTCACAAATTTAAAATCTAGTACATATCCATGCAACATCAAATTAAATCCAGTGATGCCATAGTTGACTCCTACCGTATTTGCTTTATTAGTAGTGCATACACTTTAAGATGCTCTTGTAATAGAGTAAATATGGTATACAAAAAACAATCAACAAAAATTGAAACTGCCGTAAGTGGCGTTCATGTTACTGGCACATGCGGAGAGTTGGGACTGAATTGGCATGTTCCGTAACAAGTACGTGAGCAGTCGTCACATGCCGAAAAAAACTTGATCTCTGCAAACATGAAGTATTAAAATTGTTGGCTTGTGCCGAGATCCTGTAATATAAACGTTGCTGTAAAGAACTGTTTATTGGTGATCTCTAGAAGTATGGAACAACCACCACCCCCTCCCTCTGGCACATAAGATCAACAGTACCACACATTGTAACCTGGCAACCTGAGTAACGGAAACTGTCTACTATTACCACATGTCAATAGTGATAACAGAAATATACTTCTTATCTGTAGAAAACATGTATATTTATTTGTGTATCCCTGTCTGCAGTTATATAACTTTAGTCAAAGAGTAATTTTATATGATGAAATCCTTCAGCTCACTGGTAGTAGTCTTTGAGATAATAAACAAATCTTGTTTTTAAATTAACCACTGTAATAGTTTTAGTGTTTGTTATCAGAAAACTTTACAGGAAATGGGTTTGTTTTACTAATGTGCTCAGCTAGCTGCATGACTGGAGATACTTTGAGAGGAATGAAATTCAGAGCTAAATGATGTAAATAAATGATGTTGCTCTTGAATACAGTTGTTTTGCATAACTTGACTATGCAAAAAAAACATCAGTCCCTAAAATTCCAGTTTATTCTGTAATTGATATTTTTTTCTTGACCGCGAAGTTGTACAGGGCAGTATGAGAAAAAACAGATTAATTTGACTGGAATTTAGTTTCACATTAATTTCTATTATTGATGAAAATTCTTTTTTTTTTTCTTTTCAGACTGGTTTTACACCACTCTACATGGCAGCACAAGAAAACCATGAATCCGTGGTTCGATTTTTGCTAGTGAATGGAGCAAATCAAAGCCTTGCCACCGAGGTGAGATTATACTTTGGGATACTTTGCTTCGCACTGACATCCTCTCACTTGAGTATATTTGTCTAGATTTTAAACAAATTTTAACTCCTGTGTAACTGTCAAATTGAACATTTTTCGATTCCATAATTTTCTATGCCAAAATCCTTTGCAATAATTTGGACATTTTTATGTTTTCTATAATTTTTTATGTATTTTCGAATTGTTTGGACATAAATTCCCCATTGGCTATAGGTCTTGGCATATTTTGTGATTTTGTACTTCAAAGAGTTAACAAACCAATACGAAAAACAGCTGATGATTTTGTAAATTGTGTTAGCTTTTGGAAAGTGTTGAGACTTAAGAAAGGGAATATGTAGATTTCACAGTGTACAAAAGAATATACAATGGTGTTCAGCCTAGTATTGAAAATTTAACTATATGCTTCATTACAAACCACATTTATTTATGCACTGTATTCCCTTTTCTGTCCCTCTTGCTTAAAAAAACATTGGTAGAACTTTGATAAAATATAAAATGATTAGCAGCTCAAAGGTCAAGGGTCAAATTACTAATAATTCCTGTTGGGACCATAACATGACTGATGTTTCCAAGCTGTTAGATATCTTGAACTTTGATCTTAAATGTCAAACAAAATTAGAAAAGTGTCCTATTTTTAAACAAAGTTGTGGTTTTGTAACATTTGTAACTTCTTATCCCACAAGATTTTGTGATTAAATTGAGGAAAATTATAACCTTTTAAGGAGGTCAGAGAAGTTGTGTAATAATAACGTAAGTTGTCAGAGGGACACCAACACCACCTCCCGCCCCAACCCCCACATAAGAGATTTGTAGTTCTTGAACATTTTGGCAGTAATCTTCCTGTTTACAACTGACCTATAATTGTATCCATACACCATGTTCCTTATTAAATAAAATAGTCTAAGCTGTAAGCATTATTTGTAGGATTTTAAAATGTTATTTATTTTTTATTTACTAGGATGGGTTTACTCCATTGGCGGTTGCTTTGCAACAAGGACACGACAAAGTGGTGGCACTATTATTAGAAAACGACCGTGCCGGCAAAGTAAGACTTCCGGCTTTGCACATAGCGGCAAGAAAAGATGACACTAAGGCGGCTGCCTTATTACTTCAAAATGACCACAATCCTGATGTCACTTCTAAGGTAAACACATTTTCAGAAAGTTATCATTTCTCATCCTTCCTTCCAGTGTGGCCCATATTCATACGCACTAAAACCCTTCCTTTCCCACACATTCTATTCCCATTGATGAAAGATGGCATGGTGTACATGTATGAGACAATCTAAAGACATCTTTCATTTCATCCATTAGAATATTACTACTAAGTTCTTGTATCTAAGTTACTTTTGTGAAATGTACTCCGTACTCTTAAAACTAGTCCACACTTTTAGGAACCATATTGGGGGGAATGTATTGACACCAATTCCGTGATTGTGAACTTCCACCATATTTTCCTGTCCTACTGCTAGGATCATTATGCCTTAGTACTCAATACCAACATATTATTGTTTTCAGAGTGGCTTCACACCATTGCATATTGCAGCACACTATGGACATACCAATGTAGCTACGCTGCTATTACAAAGAGGAGCTGCTGTTGATTTTTCAGCTCGGGTAAGGTTTTTTTTTCTATTGGAAAGTAATATTAGCACATCAATAAGCAGATTATTTGTTTCATATTGAGCAAATTATTAAAAATCATTCAGAGATTGTTATGTAGTCAATGATTGCAAATCATTTCCTGATATGTTCTTTGCTTTTTGCCCCAGATAATGATTTCAGATCATTTTAAGATGATTGGATCTCGGCTTAATTGAATAATGATACACAATGATTTCAATTTTCTCCTTAGAATGGAATTACCCCATTGCACGTTTCTTGTAAGTGGGGTCGTGTCAATATGGTAACATTATTACTGGATAGAGGAGCCAAAATCGACAGCAGAACAAGGGTAAGCCTTCATTCTTTATTTCGAGTTGATTTGAATTAATTCTAATTAATATGATCAGTATTAGGAAACCTTTACAGAGAACAAGATGCCACAAATGAGACAATTTTAATTGCCCCTTTCACATTTGAGAAACTTATTAGGATGCCGCTATCTCCATTGTACAGCTTGCCATACTTTCCTTCTGATTTCAGCTTTATAATTTTTAATTTAGAAACTTTATTTTGTGTGTTAAAGCTTGAGAAAAAAGTTTAAACATTTTTATTGAGTAGTTTAAGCATGCTTTTCATTTGATTTTTACCTTAATTGCTGCTTTTATATTAAATTTGTTTTTTTTGTTTACCTGTTTAGTTTCCTGTCTATTTGCCTATTATTGCCTGCAAATTTATTTTCTCCTGTCATCCAAATTTTAAAAACCATGGCAGTTTTTATGGTGATATATATATATATTTTTGTATTGCTTCCTAAGTGATTTCTTATGCTCTGCAGCCTATTCTCCCTATTTCTTCTGTGGAATCATCTAACCATTCAAAGAAATAGTTGGAATGTCCCATTGTGCAAGGGGATATAGGGTGAATAGGTTAATATTGCATGTGCTACCATTTTACATACTCTAACATGCATTTCTACACATTTCCCATAGAATCCATTGGAACTGGTGACAAAAGTGAGTTTTGTTGAGTTACTGAGCCTCTTTAATACGTGACTGGGTGCTCAAAATCAGCATTTCACTCCTCTTCATCTACTGTATACTGCCCTCACTGGCAATGCTTGCACATTTGTCGGCCATGATGGATTTGACTACTTGCATATTAAAAAAAATATTAACCTGTATTAGGAACTGATTTTGAATTTTGTGGGGAATAGAACTTCAGTAAATGCTAGTCTACTAATCCACCATGGCTTGTATGAATGCGATTCTCCATGATTTTATCATGGAAGTGACAACAGAAATCTTGGAAGTTATAGAATGTAGCTACCTTGAAATCAGCAAAGGTGTGAGATATATTTAATCATGACAAGAATGGGAACTTAGATTATACACCATGCTGATTATTTTTGGAATTTTTCACCAAGTTAGGTGGTAATGCTCACTTGCATGAGGTATACATGAATCCTATTTGTTGATATTGGAGAGAAGTGAAATATGAGTACCTAGGTGTATGTAAAATGAACCCTTACTTCGCTTAATGTCTACATTTCCCTATACATCACTAACTTATTTTGTTTTGGACTAAATTTAAATGAGTTTGCTGGAAGGAGCAGATAATTTGACTCGTTTATATTTCATTATCATTTGTTGTTGCCAGCTGTGAGATCTTTTACTCACTCATTCTTGCTCAGTTTTTTTTCGGCATTTTTGGCACATTAATAAAATGGAAAATATAAGTAGGAAATCCTAGATATCCAATTTTGACCCCTATTTTTTTAAAATATTTTTTATGAGAATGAAGTGTAAATTGTTGAGCTTAGTAAGGGATGTCCAAGTAGGATTGCATCAAAACTACTTCACTAACATATTTTACTCAAAAAATATGTTGTAGTGAATTAATAATAAATTGATGTCATTCTTATTTATTTATTTTGATCTTTTTTTTCTTGCTTATAACAAATCTTTACCAACAAATATTTGGTGGGGAAACGTTATGTGAAGCGAGCTGAAGATCGTAGCTTCATTATTAATATATTCTGTTTTGTGTTGTGTTGTTATTTGTAAGTTGTAATTTTATGTCTGTGAAAAAAGTCAGTTCTGTCAAAATAACTTATTTGTTGTATAAGGCAATTTTTTGGGTATTTTCTGATTTCAAACTATTTTGGGTTTTTGGTGTCTAGATTTCTTGTCTCGCTTAATAACATAATACATTTTGCTCTATGTACAAAATTAAATACAACAACTTTTTTCATCAACTTTAAATTATAGAAAAAAGTGTTTCAAAGTAGTATTCTACATGTATCAGAATTGATGCACTCTTTCTCTTTCCATGGAAATAATTTTCTGACTGCTGCATGCTTCTATCATTGCATAGACTCACAGTACCATAGTTTCACACATATTAGAAAAATAAATTCTAATGTGGTTGCCTAGAGACCATCTGATGTGTTTGCTTAGAGACCATCATGAATTTCAGAACGATGTCAATGCTTGTTTTTCTTTTTTTTACTGAAAAAGTATCTGCTCTCTGCTCCTTGCAAAATACGTATTAACATTTAGTCCTCAAAACCACTAGAAAAATGGGTAAAACAATTTACTATGCTCACTAATGTAGATGTAGTTGTAACATTTCCCACACAAATTGCTATACTTTTATTTTGGATGTTGTTTCTGAAAGTTTTAATTGGAACACAAAGCTACTGAAATCTGGAATTTCTGTCTGAAAAGAAAGAAAAAATTTTGTTGGAAATGTTGAGGTTCTTTGTTTTTAGGTGGTGGTGGGTATTTTTGGCTGATTTCAATGAAAATTAATTTTGTGTTTGAACTTTACCAACAGGATGGACTGACACCTCTTCACTGCGCTGCAAGGAGTGGTCATGACCAGTGTGTTGATTTGCTACTGGAGAGAGGAGCACCTATTTTGGCCAAAACTAAGAATGGTCTTGCACCTTTACACATGGCAGCACAAGGAGACCATGTAGATAGTGCACGTTTATTACTCTATCACAAAGCACCTGTTGATGATGTCACCGTGGTAAGTTCTAAAAAATGTGCTGATGCATTGTTAAGATTTTCCCATTGAATTTATTAAAATTTCCATGATGTAGTTGAACTTTGTTTTCACTTTCATCAAAGCCGGTGATTGCATGTTGAGTCCCTGGGGTTTTTCTATGAGCGCCACTAAGCGCCACTAAGTGGGGGAGATAAGATGTGGAGTTTTTGATAATTATAAGTTAAAATGGAGCTTCCTATGCCTTCCTTGGGGCCAAAATTACTATCAGACAGGTCACAGTTGAAGACTGTTCCCACATCAGAATTTAATGGTTGCCAGAGGATCTGCTCCCCAGGGTAAGGGGGCGCATGGCCATTGCATGAGTCCTGTGCCCTCGTACCCTTGTTAAAAAAAGTCCTATTTTGTGGATTATGTTCATTAACTTGTCAATTCATTTGACGTGCAATTGGACGATATTGAGATTTATCAAGTTAGCCACAGTTTGTATCATTTCTATATTTTCTTGCAGGATTACCTGACTTCATTGCATGTAGCTGCTCACTGTGGTCATCATAAAGTAGCTAAATTGCTGTTGGATCGTAAGGCTAACCCTGATTCCCGTGCTCTCAATGGTTTCACCCCACTTCATGTTGCCTGCAAAAAGAATCGCATCAAAGTCATAGAACTATTATTAAAGTATGGTGCATCAATCCACACTGTTACCGAGGTAAGTAATCATAAATACTTTATTTAAGTTGGAATTAATTTTTGCTGAAAAGACATTTTGACTGTTTTGTATGAAATTTATTTTCACTAATTTTTGACAATTGAATGTAAAATGTAGGAAAAACAGTATGCACATGTATTTGCTGGATTTTATTTTCACTGAATCATTCCTTCAGCGAAAATAGCAAAAATGAATCCAAGTGAAAATAAAGTATTTTACAGTAGCCATTATCCTTGAATTGATGGTATGATTACAACCCCTACAATGTCAGTTTTGTACTGACTTGAAATCAATTACTGATAAATCAAATTTCCATTTCATTTTATCGCATTGTTCTTTTTATAGTCTGGTTTAACACCATTACACGTAGCTGCATTTATGGGTCATGTACAGATTGTATTATTGCTGTTACAACATGGAGCATCACCTGACACAGCTAATGTGGTAAGTTGTATAATTCACTACTCTCTCCCAGTCTTAAACCACTACCTTCTAGTTCACTCTTTTAGTCTTTTTTGCTATTTTATCTGGCCAGATGACTACCTCTTCCGCCATACAGAGCCCGACCCCCACCCACCACTGTCATCTATTTCCCCTGTACACTGCATTTTTTCTAACCAACTGCCTATAGTCCACGCCACACCATGTTTATTCTGTCTTGTGTTTCCCTATTGTCTTTCTACGTACTATCCATGGTGTGGAGAGTTCGCTCCGCTCCGGTCTGTCCGTTCCGGTCTGTCCGCTCCGGTCTGTCCGCTCCGGTCTGTCCGCTCCGGTCTGTCCGCTCCGGTCTGTCCGCTCCGGTCTGTCCGCTCCGGTCTGTCCGCTCCGGTCAGTCCACTCCGGTCAGTCCACTCCGGTCAGTCCACTCCGGTCAGTCCACTCCGGTCAGTCCACTCCGGTCAGTCCACTCCGGTCAGTCCACTCCGGTCAGTCCGTTCTGGTCAATCCGTTCTGGTCAAGAGTGAAGAATGGAATGTTAATTTATTTTTTGTTGGAGCTTACCTCTAATTTTGTTTTTACAGCGTGGTGAAACAGCCTTACATCTTGCCGCAAGAGCCAATCAAATTGATATCATTCGTATCTTATTACGCAATGGTGCCCAGGTAGATGCAAGAGCACGCGAGAACCAGACTCCACTGCATATTGCTTCCCGTCTGGGTAACGTGGAAATTGTCTTATTACTGTTGCAACACGGCGCATCACCTGATGCACAAACAAAGGATATGTACACAGCCCTGCATATTGCGGCCAAAGAAGGACAAGAAGATGTAGCATCTGTCCTACTAGAACACGGTGCATCGCTATCCACAACTACCAAGGTGAGTTAGAATATCTGTGCATTCATGATTATCAAATAAAGCCCTGATTTTATTGGTTATTTTGTATTTTTGAATACTGCAGCAAAATTACTTTTCTAGTATAGTAAGTAAATACGTATTGGTATATGACATGTGTACAAATAGCTGTGAAATTAATTTAGGTTCCAGATGCTGTTTATATTTGCATATCATAAACATCGCTACATTTTACTCTTTGGTACCATAAATGTCATCATGAAGCAATTATCAGAAATTTTTTTTTTTTTTCACGAATAACAGAAGGGGTTCACTCCTCTGCATGTGGCGGCGAAGTATGGAAGTCTAGAAGTCGCAGCTTTGCTCCTCAAGAAAGTTTGCCTCTCCTGATGCAGCTGGAAGGGTATGTTACTGTGATACTTGGCGCGAATTCAAATGTTGGAAAAAAAGGCAAATTATTAAAATTTTTAGGTCCGTTGTCATCATAAGATTTCTCACTTCAATGATATTTACATCTTGACTTTTACAGAATGGTTTGACACCATTGCACGTTGCTGCCCATTATGACAATGTCAATGTTGCTATGCTGTTATTAAAACAAGGTGCTTCACCACACGCTGCAGCCAAGGTAATTTGTTATCTAGATCTTTTTTCTTCCTCCGACAACCAGAGTGAAAACCAATGCACGGCATAATATTTATTTACCAAAAAGGACTGCAAAAAGTTTGTCATGTTTGGCCTCTATTTCATCAGAACAGCCATAATGACATTATTCACATGATAGGTTTAATTTTACCAACTGTTTTCAACTTTTATTTTACTCTCAGAATGGATTTACTCCACTACACATCGCTGCCAAGAAGAACCAGATGGAGATTGCCACCACATTACTGGAATTTGGAGCCGAAGCAAATGCAACGACTAAACATGGAATTAGTCCAGTCCACTTAGCGGCCCAGGAAGGACACACAGACATGCTAACATTGTTACTGGCCCGTGGTGCTAAGCCAGACATTCCTGCTAAGGTAAATTGTCACTGCTTTTAGCATCCAGTCAATTGTTTTCAACAATTTTTATCAAAAAGATTCGGAGATAAAAATTATGGCGTTCAGTGAGTTAAGCTTTTAATAATACCGTAATAGGTTTTTCATTTTTGTGAAGTTATTATAGGACACACATCCTGGTACTTTGCCTGACCCCTAAAGGTCACTCATCCTGGTACTTTGCCTGACCCCTAAAGGTCACTCATCCTGGTACTTTGCATGACCCCTAAGGTTACTCTCTGGTTCTTTAATGGGGGGGGGCATATATTTACTATCAGAATTTCTTAATTATTTAACAATTTATCATATCCAAACTTTTGAGAATTAATGTTGAAAGATACTACCCCCAGAATTACCAGGATGCCTGACTGTTAGGGGTCACCATGGGTTATGTGAACCAAATTTTCTGCAAATGTATCCGTGCATTGGAAAATGTTTTCTTATTTCATCAGATATTTTCATATAGTTAATGCTTTCTCCTGAAATTCACAGAATGGTTTAACTCCATTGCATCTTGCGGCTCAAGAAGATAGAGTTAACTGTGCAGCCATATTGTTGAAAACGATGCTGTCATCGATGCACAGACTAAAGCTGGATATACTCCTTTACATGTTGCTTGTCACTATGGCAACATTAAGGTGGCAACCTATTTATTGCAGCAAGAAGCAAAGGTTAATGAAAAGACTAAGGTGAGAAAAAATAATACCAATCCAAAGTTCAATTTTCTCTTGTTTGTCAGAATATTTATTTCAAGAGTTGCAATGTGTTTATAGTTGATCAATAAAGCTGTATTTTGGATAGGCTCATTTAGGTCATTTTCCTTTGTGCATTTATCACTTGTCTTTGACACTTGTCTTATAATGTTTCAAAACAAGTTTTTAAAAATAAAAATTAAATTTGTATATTAATGTTATTGTTTCGTAGGCTGGCCTGACTCCACTCCATCAAGCTGCCCAGCAAGGTCATGTTGCCCTGATTAATCTGTTACTACAGTACGGTGCTGACCCCAATGAAGTCGCCAATAACGGATACACAGCATTGGCCATGGCTAAGCGTCTTGGCTACATCTCTGTTGTAAATACTCTGATAACCGTGACAACAGTTACTACGGTAACTACACAGGTAAGTCTATGTCTGGAATTTTTCTACACCAGAAAATGGAATTATCGCAAGAATTACCGCAAATGCATACCAGTCAATCAATCAATCCCCATACTGCCTTCCAGCATACTTTGTGATATTTTCATAGTATTCATAAAACTAAGATGTACAATTTAATACACATTTATTAGATAACTTATGTTAAATCTTGTTCATGGTAGTGGTGATATGGTGGTGAGCAGATCACAAATTCCCACTCTATACAATGGAATGAATTCATCTCATTGCTTTGTATTCTTATCTTTGTACAGACTGATAAAGAAGAAAAACTCAAAGTCTTGGTTCCAGAAACCATGCAAGAAACATTCATATCAGACTCTGAAGATGAAGGTAAGTGTAGTAGAGTTGGATTTTTGGGAATATTTGTGTTTTTAAAAATGTTAGAAAAGGTAAAGACCCGAATTAACCACAAAGTATAGGGAATATTTAGTATTAATGGAGTTAGCTTGTAGCATGCCATTGCAGCACATAGACTCTACTCTAATCTTATCAAATCTACTGCTTGTTATGTGTTCTTCACTTTGCCTGCCCTATTGTTTACGTTCGTACCATGTGCTTGATTGGTTGCAGCATTCTGCACAATTACAATTCATACTTTTTCTTTTCTAATGTGTATTTTTCAATAATTAATTTATTCCAGCACGTACATTTTGATAATTTTATTAAATGTTTTGTTCAGTTGATCAGAGTAACTCTGGCTTATTTGGTGCTGTTTAAATCTAGTTTAACAAACGTACACAATTATGAGTACTTAATTTCACTGACCTTTAATTTCACCATTTGGTGTTTATAGTCTATTTTACTGGGTTCATAAACAGTTTCTATTGTTATTTTACATAGTTATGTGATTTTTATTTAGTGGATTTAACAGCAAAATTATAACCCAGTGAAAAATAGATTTATGGTATCCTCAAATTCTCGCTGTACAGTGGCCATCATGTGCTACTCGTACATCAAATACTGTATTATTACTACATCTTCTTTGAGCTTTCTTTTCCTGATGTATGTTTCGAAAGTTTGTTTCAGTTTTGGTCACATCAGTCTTCAATAAGCCAGTGTCACTTTTTATTAACATTCACTTATTTTAACTATGTGGTTAATGTTTGTAATATTGCTTTCTTGTTAATGCTTGCTGTATGTCCTGCACTGTATGTTGTCTTGTACATAGGTATGGATTCCATTATTTACCTTCCACAGTCACCTCTGTGGCTTCCTTCATATGCTGGACTTGATAAAACCTATAATAATACCACCATGAACACATTTACGTTTCGTAAGTCTGTGTCATTTTAAAGCTGTCGCTACAGCTGTTGTGTTTTGTAGATGGTTTCATCACTTGAACGTCATCATTATTTTGTTAATGTATAATGTTTGCAAATTTTCCATTTTGTTTGCAGTATGTTATTTTACTCTCTTTACTAGGGAGTCTAGTAATTTGGATTCCCTAGATAACTAGAAGTTTTCTGTTAAAACTGTTACAACACTCAATAAATATTGCTGGCTAAATGCAAATGTAAAATTTTCACCAGTGATAAAATCTTGCAATTATTGAGACGAATGTTAAGTTATATACCACCAATTCATAATAATCATTTGAACAATAAATTCAACTTTTGTCACTTTTAACAAAATAAAAAATGCATATTTCTTCTAATTGTTTCCGAAACTGTTAATCACTTACTGATAATCCAGAATTTGAAATGAAATTATAAAAAATAAGTATGAGCAAAATGACATTTGATAGGTTAACAGAATGTTCAGTGGCTTTGGTTGATTTATGCTGTTAACTGCTAATGGATTGGAAAGAGTTCTTTCAGGCCCCCTCACCCCTAACCTGAACCCTAACACTTCAGCCCCCTCAATGTAATTCAATATGCCCCTCCAAATGATTAAGTGACCTAAAGAGGGGTATATATAATTGAAACAGAGGAGGGGTACTTGAGGGTTAGGATTTGATTTACAGGTGAGCGGAGCCCTAAGGAACTCTTACGTCATAGGGATACTGCACTAGCTTTACTAATAGGTGGCTTAAGGTAACAGCAGCTAAGCCAATGAAATGCAATGCTCATGTAGTATTCACTCCATGTGGCAAATATTTAGAAGTACTAACCCAACATGATGCTATTTTATTAAATGGATTCGCCCCTGGTGCAATACTAATGAGTCTACATTAAGTACAATGTGTGGTTTTCTGAACATGAAAGACTCAGTCATGCATTGCCTTTTCCATCTAAACCCAGTGGTAGTAGCCTCAGTGTCTTAAAATTACATTCCCACTTTGCAAATTTACATCACTCTCACAAGCTAAAAATATCAAATAATATATTGTTGGAAGTTATCCTGCTCTCACTTTCCACACATTTCATTTGGAAGGTACTGGAGGTTCTTATCCTGTTGACTGTCTCCAAGGACAAACAAAGCCTTCTAACTTGGTGTTTATTTTTACAAATCTACTTCAATTTAGAAGACCAATTTTTTCATTACTGATTCATTATCCCAACATTTGATTATATATTGGTCAAAGGAGGGTATTTTACAAATTTGCAAATAGTGAATGCAACTTTAATACGGTAATCCCTCATCTGCACAGAATAATCCTTCAGGGGCATATTGAAAGATGAAAATCATGTTGTAAATTTTTAGGTGAAGATACTATGACTGGTGACATGCCTACCTTAACAGTGGACGAAATGAAAAACATGGCTGATGACTCCATGCCTGTTTTACAGTCAATGACCATAGAGGAAGTATGGATGAAAAGTGATCAGGTAAAACTTCTCAAAAAGATTCTTGAATATTTGATAGTGTATGATGTCATTTCTTTTTTACTGGTTGAGATTTATGTGACATACAGAAGACATGAAAGCAAACATTCATTCACAGGAACAACAATTTGATTATGTAGATGTTTGTTGCCTAGAAGATAGCAAACCCCCCAAAAAAGTTATTTTATTTATGGAGATCTACTGATGAAAACAAGAGTTATGTGTGAACACCTTCTGTTCACACACAGGATAGATTTTCTATTAAAATGTATGTATTTTAGGAAAGGTGTCTTCTTGGGACTATCAAGATAGTAAAGGACAGAAACAAAATCAAGTTTCACATTCTGACACAGCATTCTGCCATCAGACTGGTTAATACTGCTTCTATGCTACAAATCTTAACATATTTGTTTTCATTTTCAGAGTCGTCTTACCAACTATGCTTACCCACCGTATGCAGGAGGTGAATCACCAAGTTCTTCAGCAAGAGGTTCCATGCCAGGTTATTACAGATCTGCTGCATACACCTCGTACTCCTCCAAGACTGGAAGTGTAGAACCAGAAGTTTTGAAAGCTGATAGGGCTGTGCAGCAGTCGGCTGCACCTGGCATGGCTGAGACTGATATGGTAACAAAGACGACTGAAGTTACCATCATAACGACCTGGAGGACCGTCATCCGTAATAAAGATGGTGAAATAATGAGGAAACCTGATGGGAATGTCGCACATGTTGGTGATCCGTTCCAGGATGAAGATGGGAAAGAAGTTGCCGGTAAGGTGTATGGACCAGATGGTAAACCAATGGAATACACCATATATCTGCAAATGATTAAAGTTCATCGCATTATGATCCGAGATAATGATGGCCATCCAAAGAAGACTCCAGATGGGCGACCGATGTATGCTGGTGATCCAGTTGTTGATGAAGAAGGACGTGTAATTGAAGGGATGGTTTATGGTCTTGAAGGCGAGTCTGTCACATATGAAGATTACTTATCCACAGCTGCTGAAACTAGGGAACCAGTACTTGGAGATGATGGTGAGGAATTGAAAACCGCTGATGGTCGTCCAATTCGACCTGGAGATCCAGTTATTGATGAGGACGGTAAAGTGGTCAAGGATTTGGTCTATGGTCTGGATGGCAAACCAGTACAGTACACTATGTTTTATACAACAGTCATCGTCACACGTCAGATCATAAGAGGTCCTGATGGTCTGCCAATGTATACAGCCGATGGAAGACCGATTGTTGCTGGTGATCCGGTTGTTGACGAAGATGGTGTGGTACGACAAGATATGGTCTATAACTTAGAAGGTAAACCTGTACCTGTATACGAATACTATATAACTACAATTACAAGGTCGGTAATCAAAGGTCCCGATGGAGAACCACTGAAAACCGCTGATGGTCGTAACGTACATCCAGGTGATCCTGTCGTTGATGAAGACGGCAAGCTGGTGAAAGGTATGGTGTACAATCGTGACGGCAAACCAGTCAAATATACTGAATACTTTATTACTATTACTGTTACAAGAAAAATAATTCTCGGACCCGATGGTAAGCCGCTGAAAACCGCAGACGGAAGACCAATGTATCCTGGTGATCCAGTTGTTGAAAAAGATGGTACTGTTGTACAAGGAATGGTGTATGGGGAGGACGGAAAGCCACTTCCTTATGAAGAGTTCTACTCCACTAATGCCAATGCAATATTAAGAACCCCTGTGATTGGCCAAGACGGGGAGCCAATGATCACTAAAGATGGTAGAGTTATGTACGCTGGTGATCCAGTCGTGGATGATAACGGTAAAGTTTTGCATGGACTTGTGTATGGCTATGACGGTAGACCAGTTCCTTATAGCGAGTTCTACACGCACTCTACTCGAACTACAACAACTACAACGACTACCACAAGTACAGTAACAAGAGTATCCGTGAAAGATAAAGACGGTTATCCGATGAAAACTCCAAAAGGTCAATTTATTTATGCCGGTGACCCCTACATGGATGAAGATGGGACTTATATTCCTGGGATGGTCTACGGCCACTACGGCCAACCGGTGACGTACAGCACCTTTTACTCTGAAACCACAACCACCAAAATCTCTGTCGAACCTGTAATCGGGCCCGATGGAAAACCAATGAGACGACCTGATGGTAAAATCATCTATGTCGGTGATGCTGTTGTTAATGAAAAGGGTCAGGTAATACCAGGAATGATTTACGGACCAGACGGTAAACCAGTTCCGTTTGTACAAGATAATGTTGCACCCATATCCATTCCAGTACATGCTGGGTAAGTTGATATTGCATCGTTGTTATTTTTATTTTCAAAACGTGTAAATTGTATACAAGTGTGATGACGATGATTATACAACAACACCTTAGAAATAAATGAGCATCAAAATCTCATTGAGAGCAAGTGAAAGAGCCATCAATGTAACCATTGTATTTGACCAGTAGAGCGTGTATCGTCTTGGATGAATGATGTTTAATTTGCCTGAAATAAAAAATTCACTTATGTAAATGAGAGGCATGTCTATTATCAAACTGTCATATTATAGTGTACAACAAATTACAACGTAGTTTATTAGAGATATGATTCTCATGACGTAAATATGGCGTATTATAAATATGACATACTTTGTTTATTTGGTGAGACCAGTTTATAACATAACCGAAGATTTTCATGAACACAAAAAACATACAAAATAGTCATTTTTATTGCAATATAGCGATTAATTATTAAAATATTACTTATGTTGGCCATAAAAAAAATGTCTAATTTACCTAGTTAAGTGCATTGGCTACTTGTAGAGGTATATACCTTGCGAATCTAGTAAAACGTAACAAAGTAATTGTATGTATTTTCGTACGGATTTTCACTATTTATCTTGAAATTAAGAACAAATAAAATATTGTACTTGAATAATTCTCACTGTGATTTTTTTCCCTCGACAGATTCCTTATCAGTTTTATGGTAGATGCTCGTGGTGGAGCCATGCGTGGTTGCCGTCTTCCTGGGCTTCGTATTATCGTTCCACCAGGGAAGGCGACCGGGCCAACTCGCATCACCTGCCGCATGATAAAGAGAATGAAACTAGTTAACCCACCCCCATTGATGGAAGGTGAAGCCCTCGCCAGTCGTGTACTGGAAGTTGGACCTTCTGGTGCTCAATTCCTCGGGTAAGTTGAACAGGGGTTCGTCTGTTATAACATTGTTAGAAAAAAATATATATAACCCATTCCCTGATTGGCTAATAAGAGTAATGATATCTGTAATCCATATGTGTGGCAATCTGAAATTGATGAATTGATCTGCCAATTGGAAACACTGTTACTGAAATTGATGAATTCATCTGCCATTTGGAAACACTGTTACATTCTTTCTACCAAGATGTTGTACATTATTGTCCTGTTGTATGTGGTAAGTGTTAGAGCATAGAAAGCTGTGTTGTGGATCTTCCTTGGTTTTTTGTTACCTTTGATGTCTACTAGGTGGAAGTCTGTGAAGAGACAGCATGTTGTGTTTCGTATCCATGCATGTTGTAATGGGATCATTGATTGTCTTTCTCTATTAACATAACAATGTTCATTTCAAAATATATCCATTTTTCGGTTTCATTAATTCTTTTCTGCAATAAATTTCCTTACAATGTTTCCAAATTCCTTCATTATAAATTACTGTCCATTCTTCCACTGTGGTTCTGTGATCCCCACAAAGTAATTGTTTTCTGTAGTGTTTACTTTTACCTATCCCTTTCGTTAGTCCTTGTGTGGTTCTATTACCCCTATAAATAAATAAATCATCTGATGCTCTATGGCCTTATCATTGGTATGAAGTAAAAGATTTGCCAGTACTTTCACAAAATGAATTACCATGACCACTACACTGAACCTATCATACTACTGTTCTCCACGCTCAGGTTTTGTCACTTCCACTATTTAATGACTACCGGTATGTTCCTGGTATTGTGGTCCTGTCACCCCATACAAAATGAATGAATCTGTCTCCCTCATTGGTGTTGTCACCCCACTGTCCCATATACTGTGGTGCTGTCGTCCCACTGATTCTTTGTTTTATTACCCCCACAGTTTAATGAATAAGTCCCTGATAATGTGGTCTTGTCTCTTTCTTATAAAATGAATGAATCTGTCACCCCACTGTACTTCACACTGAGGTGCTGTCACCCCCTCCTCCACAAGTCAATGATTCTGTTCTCTACATTGGCGATGTCTTCCCACTCCTTCACACTGAGGTGCTGTCACCCCCTCCCCCACAAGTCAATAATTCTGTCTCCTACATTGGTGATGTCTTCCCACTCCTTCACACTGAGGTACTGTCCCCCCCCCCACACACACACACAAGTCAATAAGTCTGCCCTCTATACTGGTGATGTCTTCACACAGGTGCTGTCACAATTTAATGATATTGATATTGTTTTTTTCACTTCCCTATACCCAATGAATGAATCTGATGTCACCCCCACAATTTAATCCTGTACTGGTAGTTTTTGTTATCCCACACAAAAGTAATAAATCTGTTTCCTACTCTGTGGTGCTTGTTGATTCTTGATTTTT